TTACTCACCATTCACTCTCCACTCTTGTCGCGATATTTTGTTACACCCACAGACCTATTATTGCTCCCTTTTCTCCTCTCCTCTCCTCTCCTCTTCTCCCAAATGCTCTCTCTCTCTCTCTCTTTCTCGCGGCGATCCCACCCTTTACCCATTGTCCGACATCGGTTTGACTTGAGGCGCTGTCTGCACAGCCGATAAGCTCATGACCCCTCGCCTCGACTGTACATTCTGGCCTTGTGCCTTTGTTCTGCCGATATTACTAAACCCTTATCTCGTCCCGCCTAATCCCATCGGGCCGGACATCTTATACATTCATCCACGCACACACGCACACGCACACAGACGCATACAGACAAATGCACATATGCCGGGTGATTTGCGTACATTTTGCTTACATTTTGCATACATTCACAAGCATGCAAGCAAGCAAACAAACAAACAAACGAACAGACTGGCTTGTTTGTTGGCCGACACAGATCGCTTTCACGTCCGCGCAGCCCATCAACCGATCGTCCCGAGGGTGGGACGACCTCCCCCCTCCGTCTGGCCGACGCACTAACCAGTCCGCCATCCCTCTTGCCTCTCGTCCCTCTCTCGTACCACAGACCCCTCGTTTGCCCAGTCAGCCCACTCACCTGGCCCACCTGGTGGGGCTGGGAACAGTTTGTGTGTGTGTCTCTGTCTATCTGGTATTTTTGGTTGGCCAGCCGAGGCCTTGACTACAGCCCAACGCCTACTCGATGGATAGCGATACACAAACAGCGCCCCGGCTGTCGGATGGGCTTTCGGTTAATTAAGTCGGCTAACGCTGTACCTTCCATTTGTCTGTGTCTGTCTGTTCACTATCTGTGTCTGTCTGTGTCTGTCTGTGTCTGTCTGTGTCTGTCTGTGTCTGTCTGTGTCTGTCTGTGTCTGTCTGTGTCTGTCTGTGTTTGTCTGTGTCTGTCTGTGTCTGTCTGTGTCTGTCTGTGTCTGTCTGTGTCTGTCTGTGTCTGTCTGTGTCTGTCTGTGTCACTGTATGTGTCTGTTTGCATTCATACATACCCAAGTGGTCGGCTTCGCTGTGACGATTGCTATTATTCAACTTGACTCATCATTATCCTCAAAGTTGTGTGTTACTGTTGCGTTGCGCTTCAGTGATTCGAGTCACTTTCCTGCCTCGTCTGGCTCGGGCTCGAGGTGATGTTGTTCAACCAAGTGTGCCATTTCGTCGGATAACCCCAGACAGCCGTCCATCCATCCATCCATCCATCCATCCATCCATCCATCCATCT